CTCCTCATTCTCTGGCTCACTCTGTCTTATCTGTGTCTAGCTTTCTCTATATATATCCTGTGTCTGTAAAACTGCCATACCCACCCACCACTCACCACCACATTTTTTTCTCTCTTGCTGCCCTAAAGTAGTCTCTTTTCCTTTGCTGTTCTCCCGTGAGTTAGGCATATTCTATCACTCATGCATTCTGTCAAATCTTTCTCTGATTCATCACTTTGTCTGCCCCTCAATTAGGCATCACTTTCAAACATGGCTTCTTCCTTTTGCAAACTGACCTTACCTTCATTGTTAGGGATTAAATATGTGTACTAAGAGCCTGTCTGTATTCCAGTTGGATCGTATCTTTGGATATGATCCCTTGCCAGAGCAGCCATGTTGCTGGATTAAAATTCCTCTACACCTTCCTTCAATTCAAACAGAATTTCAGTGATCATATTAAAATATGCTATCTGCCAAATACAGGCCAAGGGCTTCAGAAATATGTTTTTCCATGTTTACTGTGATTTGTCCACATTTCTTTCTATTTATACAAAAAAAAATCTATGCCTAGTCTATATTTCACTCCCCTCTGGAAACTCCATCATGCCAGCCATCACATCTTTTGAATTTAGTCCTTATGTTCTAAATAATACACTTTGTTATCTGAGCATATTTTGTTCTAGTTTATTTTGCTTCACCAATTAAACCATATGCTCTTCCAGGATAGAGATTTGACATATGAATTTTTAATGTCTCCAATATATGCTAAGGCACTTGGGACCTAGTAAGCCCTCAATAATTGGAATTATACTTTAATTTAACGGACATGCACTTCTGCCACAGTGATGGCTGAGTGCTATAACTAAGCTTAATAATAAACTCTCTGGGGAACACTCATGGGGGCATGAATACTTTAAGTTACAAGGTCAGAATCAAGAAAGACAAAAGATAAAAAAGTATAAAAAGCAATTAAGTAGAAATTTATATATTTTCACCCCACTTTAGAGATACATTAAAGCAAATACAATGACAGGCTAATGTTGGAGCTTTGCTGGAAGCCAGTTGCTACACAGATAGATCTTTTGTACCAACTTAAGTTTCAGTGAAGTGACAGGATTATTCTGGTTTCTGTCTTGGTAGAAGCAGCTGTTGAGCCAGGAAACCAGAATCTAGAACTAACTTTAGGGTACTTCTTTAAAATAGAGCTCAAATGATCTAGCTCAAGAGAATAAAAATTAGCAACAGAGATTCTACATTTGTCTGTTACCTATGAATAGGAAAATGAGGTTGGGATGGAGGGGGGAGGAAAAGGCATTTGGAAGATCCAAAATAGAACCTTAAATGATAACACAGAGGAGGCCAATTCCCAGCACGGCCTCCCTTGATTCTGCTTACTTTCTTCATTACTCATTTGATATTACAAACTCTTACCTTTCTGCATTACTTGTCTTGCTTTAGGATTCTATAATTTTAATCTTCATTCTATTTCTACTTCTTCTTTATATCCTCTACCACTTATCCTTGAAGTTGTACACAAAGTGTTTTCAACACAAAGCTTTATTTCCATGGGCAAAGTATAGTTTTATACTGAGAAGGAGATTGGTGATTGTTCAGGGATCAGCCTTGGAACCTTTCTTGAGTAGTAGATCTTTCTGGTTCTGGCTTAGATTGTTTGTGTCAGCCTAGTATTCTATAATGTCACAGTAGGAATTATCTTTCTGGTATACCATTAAAGCTTAGAGTGCAGTAAAGGAGCTCACTACCAATTCTTAATTTAAACTCATTATAACCTTGTATTGATTCATGTGTTTCACGTAATTGTGCACATTTCTTTTTTAAGATTTATTTATTTCATTTGTATGCGTACATGGTCACTGTCTTCAGACACACCAGAAGAGGGCATCAGATCCCATTACAGATGGTTGTGAGCCACCATGTCATTGCTGGGCATTGAACTCAGGACCTGTTGGAGGAACAGTTAATGCTCTTAACCTCCGAGTCATCTCTCCAGCCAGCATACATTTTTTATTAATAAAATGTAACTTTTAGTTTGTCAGTTTATTTAAAATATCTACTACTATGTGGCAGTCACTGGTCTAAGAATACAGAGATGAATAAACTGTATCCTGGCTCTTCTGGATTTTTTAAAGATTAAATCATGTCTGTTATATTCTCTAAAGACTTCATTTTCAGCTCTACCACTTCCTAGGGCAAAACATCCTCCCTTTGAGGGACAGAACACAAAGAGTAGCCTGCTATTTTATCTAGGCTTAATGATTCATGAAATGGACATTACTTTGTAAAGCACTTGTGGGAAGCGGGGTCAGTGAGAGATCCAGGTCAGATCTGAGAAGGCTGGCACCCAAGGAGTTGAGGACCATTAAAGTCTAGGGTGGTCCTTGCTTTCCTGCCTCTGCTCCTGAGTCACCTCTTGTCTCAAACAATCTTGGATTGTCAGCCAAAGTCACTGGGAGGGTAACCAACCCCTCTCTTCCTTTTGAATACCCAGTGCTCTCAACACTTGGAGCAAGTGCTTTGCTCAAGTGTCCTTGAATCTTCATAGAACAATAGCCTTGGTAGACAGGATTGTTAGAAATTCTACCTACTCACTTTTAAATTCTGCAAATCGGATAGACTGTTTTTATCCTCCTTATCCCTGAGATGGGGAAACTGAGACTCAAAAGGTGAAGGGTATAAATAGGAGAATCATGCCAGGAATCGAGCAGGGATTTCAACCTGAGTCTAGAAGAATACCCCCCGCCCTTTTTTTTTCTTTTGGATAGGGTATTGCTGTGTAGCACAAGCTGTCCTTAAATGTCATATCCTTTTATTTCACCTTACCCTGAAGTGTTATGATTGCAGCAATGTACCATAATGCCTGTTAAAATCATCAGTTTAAAAAAAAATGAAACCGAAAAACAAAACTCCAACCAACCGTTCCCCCTTCCCCACCAACAGCTTACACTTCCCTTGTTTGAGATTTTTTGTGAGTTTCGTGAATCACAGGAGAGGAACTAAGATCTACTGGGTCTGCTCCACCACTAAGTGGTCTTTTTCCAAGTCAACTGAGCAAATTTTCAGTCATGTCCTGAGCTTGGGTCAAAGCTGCAGTTAAAGACGAATACAAGAGAGATTTGTTGTCCTCCAGAAACTCAGACCATGTGGAGAACGTACAAGAGCTAGGGGCATCATGTTACGGATGGCTGTTTGATTATGCTGTTTCCTGTACTCATCCATTCATTTATTGAACAAGAAAATCATCTGACAGAATAGTATCAATTAAAGAACAGCAGTCCCCTCTTCCCCACCATCGCCATCACAAGTTACCTCACGGAGCCTAGCATGAGGAAACATTTTTCTTTTTGTACACACTTTAATTTTTTTATACAGTATATTTTGATCATTTTCCCCTCCTCCCAGAACCTCCCTACCACTAAACTTCCTACCCCCAACTCTCTTAAAAAATACCTCTCAAAAGCACAAAAATGAAAACCAGAACAAGCAAAAGATCAGTCCAACAATAAGAAATGTCGAAATAAAACAAAAACTACACAAAAACATAACCATAGAGTTCGTTTTTTGTGTTGGCCAACTACCCGTGGGCATGAGGCCTGCTCTGGAATGTGGCTGATTTACCCAGTGACACTCCACTGGAGAAACTGATTGGGAGGCAGTCCTTGACGCTCCGCATCTGAGACAAGCAATCCAATACTGTAGCTCTGCGTGTCTTCTAATTAATAAATACACTAGTGATGAAATCACTGTTGTTGTCTTTGGCAGACACTGAAGTAAATTTCTTTTAATCTGGTGGGTTATAAATTTAGTATCAACTCCCAAAATAACACTATATCAACCAGATACCTTGTTTCACAATATAAGCCCCTGTAAAGCACTGTCAATCATTTTTTATAGAGGTGTCTTAAACAGTTGTCCCCTGTTTTCAATACATAACTTAATATTCAAACTCAGGAAACTTACGAAGTTTAATATAGCAGTAAGTCCTTTCACAAGATCCATTCTTTGTGCCTGAGTTAATAAATGCTCATATTAATAAAGTCGTGAGCAAGAGAAGCCAGAGCCTCCTGAAACCCCTGTAATTACAGTGGAGAAAAGTGGAACGATGTGCCTTGATTTCCAACATCCAGACTTCTTGGAACAAGCTCATTTGGACAGGAGCCAAGAAATAAGTCTCTCTGCTGCAATTCTCCACGGCTTTGTGCAAATAGCAATGGGCTTGAGGCAAGGAAGGTTAACTTGGAATAGATTCTATTCTTTTATTTTTCTTTCCCTGGGTTTCTTCATTAACTCCTACATCCTGCTATGAGAAAATTCGTTTTCAAGTGTCGCATCTTTTAGCAGTTTCCATACTTTCAGGATACATCAGGTGAAAGTAACATGTGGATAACCTTCCCTGACAGGCCCTTTTCATTTATGACTCGAGTTTGGGTTCCTACCCAGGTTTTCAGTTTACATTCCCGCTCCAACCTACTGGACACTTATTTGAACACTCGGTCCAGTCCCTGCTTCTCATCCTTGAACCAGAAAGCTCTGAGTGGCGAGGTCACACTTTACCCCGTTAGATTCCTGCACAAGGCTAATGCACAGAGCCCCGGAGCGCACGCACAGCCCCGTTCCGTGGCCACACGGTTCCCGCCCCGTGCCACGCCGCCTCATAGCCCGACCGCCGGTTCCCGAGGGGGCACGGCCGCTTCCGGGAGGTCGTCCATGCAGCTCCCGGGGCCACCGGTCCCGCCCCGCTTGCAGCCCGCGCGTGCGCGCTTGGCCGCTGGAGCGCGCCTGGGCGCGAGCCCCGGAGGGGCGGAGCAGCGCCGCTCGCAGTTTGTCCCCGCCTCCTCCCCGCGGCGTTCCGTTGTCGCCCTGGCAACCCGAGAGCGGCAACGGCGGAGGCGCGGGAGTCCGGCGCCGCCTCTCGGCCGCCCCGCAGTAGGCAGCGGCCGCCCGGCCCGCGCTGTCCCCGCCTCCCGGCCCGCCCTCGCCGGCCAGAGTGAGCGACCGCCAGTCCGCGGATCCCGGCCGCTGTTCGGGCGCGCGCAGCTAGCGGGCGCGACTATGCCAAGATGGTCTTGCAGGCGCGGAGCAAGCACCGGGACGCGGCTCCCAGGCCGCCCCGGTCGGCCCGCTCGTCGCCGCCGCCACTGAGTGGGGCATCCGATGTGGGCGCTGGGGAGCTGGGGCCAGAGCGCTCGCCGCCGTCGCCGGGGCGCAGGGGCACCGCGAGCAGGAAGGGGCCCCGCGCAGAGACCGCCGCGCCCGCCCCGGACGGCCTCGCGGGCCGCCTGGCGGCCGGGCTGCACTGGGCGCTGGGCCTGCGGCTCGGGCGCGGCCGGACCTGGAGCACGCTGCTGCTAGGTGAGCCAGTTAGCAGCCCTCTCTGACTTTTCCCGGGACGCTCCTTCCTCCTCCCTACTCCTCCCCACTCCTTCCGGGGCTCAGCTTCTCGCATCCTCCGCCCCGCCGTCCGCCCCGGCTTTTAAAAACATGGCCCCGAGATCAACAGCTGCTCGGCTGGCCGCGGGCGGGTCGGTCCGCGCCGAAGAGACAGGCTTCTGCCTGCAAAGACAGTTCACTCTTTGCCCCTGGCTCAGCCGCTACTTCCGAGGATGGTTTGCTTGGTGACGCGAGCGATTCCTGGAGCTCGAAATACTCAGGTTTCCTGTCTTAGAAAGTTGCCAAACTTATAATTAAATTTTAGCGTGCTTTTTCCCTTCTTGGCCGCAAACACTGAGGGTGGCACTTCGTGGTTCTGTCACTTTGCAGGCTATATCGTGTTTTGGATGCCCAAGCTTTAACCTTGACTCCTGGCATCTCTACCTTCTTCCATGCACTAAATGGATGGGTTGTAACTGTGTGTCTGAAAGGAATAAAGTTGAAGCATTCACGTATGGACGGTCTTCTGGGTTCGTTTTCCGATTGACTTTGTCGGATAAGGCAAGTTTATAGAAGTTGGATTAATAGGCCTAATTTTTCCAAGCCCTTCATAAAGATTCTGTAATATTTTTGCGATGGGATTTAGCTGTTGAATTATGTAGTGATATTTTCTTACTATCTTTTCACTGTTGCTTAATGACCTCTAAGAGTTTGGAGTGCTTGGAGTTTGGGGTTTAACAGACTATACAGCAAAATCAGCCTTCCTGTGGGGACAGCCTCTACTGCAGCCATATAGTTACTGAAGGCCAGTCATGGCTGTGTTTGTGGGTTCAAGAAGGCTAGCGTTGTTACTAGGATTTTCTTTCTTTTTTTAATAGTTGGGCCAAGATTTGGCAAATTGATTATTTTCATCCTGCCTTCCTCCAGCAGAGAGCTTGGGAACCTGGCAAGTGTACAGGTTAAATTCACCTTGGGGAGGCAGCGTGGTACAGTGGATGAGGTTGAAGGCAATCAGAGCTGGTGCAGAGTGCTTGATTTTGGTATAGGTCTCACTTTGAGGGCCTTTCCTTCTGTGTTATATGAAGTTACCCCATCCTCTACTTACCCAGGGATGTCCTGAAGAGCAAAACTAAAAACTCCGTGGGTGATGCATGTTTGTGCCCAAAGCATTTAATAGCATCAGTTCCTATGAAAAAGCAAGTGCATATCCTGATTTCTGATCCCATAACAGAATAAATTTCCAGCTTTCATGAATGGCTAGTATAAACAGAAACTGTAGTAAAGTAAGGGGCGACACTGTTTGTTTTAGGGAGAAATAATAGATTTTATAGGATACAGCTTTTTTTGATGTCTTCTGGTACAGTTCCTTTGGATTTTCTTATACTGGATGGCTTATATTTGGCTTTAGTAATGCCCTTGCAGAAATACCATTTTGTGCAATGCATCAGGGTATCATTTCTCTTGATTTGCAGTTTTTGACGTTGTAAGCAGAAGTACAATGAATGTGGCAGACCACTGTCTTAGATGTACCCTGGCTAGAGGTCACAGGGATATGGAGTTGGGAGGAACACCACAGTCTTTGTCTTCTTGCTGGCCATCTGCTGTGAGACCACACAGCACCGGGAGAGAAGACTCTGCTGAATGATCAGACCTGATGTCCTTGGTTCAGCTCAGGCCCTGTACCCTCAAGACCGGTATCCATAGTGATATCCTTTGTACCACCATGTTGCCAAAGCTCAGAAAACCACTGATCCTGCAGAGGGGTTCTAGCAATTTCCATGTGTTTGTGGGCTGCATCATTTCCTCCGACTTTGTCCTCCAGTGTGGGTGAGAGCTGCATTTCAGGCTGGAGCTTCTCCTTAGTCTTCCATGTTGAGAGGTGTGGCTAGTCACTTGTTGCTTGAATTACTTTTAGCTGCTCAGCTCTAAGATCTACATACTAAGCTGTGACAAATGGCTTTCTTCGTTATTTTATAATAAATTTCCTAACTTGGAGTGCCATTGTAGCGGCACATGTTAGAACTGGTTAGAGCGTGTCTTCCTGTGTACTGGACACTGATAAGTTACTTGCCACGGTGGCTCTTCCCACTGTTGTGCAGCAACGAGCAGTGCCTGTTTTAATGAGTACGTATGATTTCCTTATATGTGGACATTACTACTTATTCTAATGGTGGCAATTAAAGAGGTTCAAAATGTTTATTTTTAAAAGTTTCAGTTCACTTGCTCCCAGCTACAGGAGGCAGTGGTCGAGCGAGAACCTTGAAAATGTTTTCAAACTTTTCTGACTACAGCAAATAATATAAGTGGCCTCCAACTTGCTCCCACCATAGAAAGCCCATCCTAGTACACAGATATGTCTATATAGATTTCTGTGCTCAGGAAAGAAGCACTAATAACTGAGCTATTTTCAGAGGTTAGAACAGGGTTGAGAAACCTACAAAAACTGTTAAGGCCATGAACAGTGGGAACGTACCGCTGTAGAAGAGCGAGGCTTGGAGAACCGGCTCCGTCAGGAAGTGTGCTCAGCTGTGCTTGAGGGAGCCCAAGAAGAGTTACACAGCCTTCCCACTCTCTGGTCTCCTGCTTGTAGTGACCTTGCAGGCTACTGAAACAGCCTGTAGAGCCAACCTCCTGGGCCTGGGTTAGGGCCCAGGTGGAGGATGGACAGTAAGTAGCCAGCAAAGTTCCAGCTCATACCACCTTTCAATAAGTTCTTTTTCTCTCTTTCCATGTGTGCTGGTTAATTTTAACTGTCATTTGACGGAGCTTTAGAATTACCGGGAAGAGAGTCGTAGAGTTACCTATCTCAGCTCGGCCAGTAGAGTAGGAGGTTGCCTTCTCTGTGGACTGATGGACCCAGGCGGTTATTTGCTGTGCCATTCCACTCGCTAGGCAGTGAGCGAGGAGGAAGCTGGGTGAGACCGAGCAAGCGAAAATGAATCCACTGTGAGTGGGATGCCTTGGGCTCTTAGTTGCCTTCCCTGTAGTATGGGCTGTAACCTGGGATTTTAAGTCAAGTGAACCTTTCCCTTCCCTGTGTTGCTTTTGGTCAGGATATTTCGTAATAGCAAGAGAAATGAAACTGGGACTTCCACGTGGTCTCATGCCTCTCTTCCCATGCTTGCCTCAAACTGGTTGGGCTTCTGAGCCAAGAATTTAGCTTTTTAACATTTGGTTTAGGGATGTGGAAGATGAGAGATCTGGATTAGACCAGCAGTTCTTAACCTGAGCTGTACACTGGAGCCGCCTGAACTCCTAAAATGAACCACATATCAGACCACTTAATTATGTATCTAGGGTGTGTAGATATGGCAATGGGGGAAGTGCAGTAATGGGTTTTAAATGGTTATTTGTTTGGAGTGTGGGGAATTGACTTCTGGGCTTCATACTTCTTAAGTAAGTCCTGTATCTCTGAGCTTTTTTGAAGCACATGGGTATCCTTGGGAAATGGGATTGTCATGGCTGAAGTCTACTCAAACTGGATATCCCAACTTTTATTTATTTATTTTTCATTTATTTACTATGTGTGCTCACCCACATGCATGCATGCACATGTGCATGTGTGTGTATGTGCATGTATATGTATGTATGTGCGTGTCTGTGTGTATGTATATGTGAGTATGCATGTGTGTAGGGAGTGTATGTTTGTGTGTGTCTGTGTAGGGCATGTGTGTGTGTGTTCGTCACAGTGCTTGTGTGTCAGGATAACTTGTAGGTTTCAGTTCTTTCCTACTGTGTGGATGTCTGGGCTAGAACTCAGGTTGTCTGGCTTCATGGAAGGCACCTTTATCCACTGAGTCTCTGCTCTGCTCTACCCTCTTTGTTGAAATAGGCACAAGAACTATCCAGTTGCTATAGTTCCCATAATTTGTATTGTTTCCTCAAAGTGGGGGCAAAGTTGCCCATTGCCTGATGGAGCCTCATCTTTCTTACACCTACCTGTGTCCTGCACCTCATTAAAAGAAGGAAGAAAAGTTCTGGTAATTGGAGCTCTGTTTCAGGGTAGAAGTGAAAAAAGTGTGTATTGAACATGTACACAAAACATGCTAGCAGTCCAGGACTGTAATATAAGATGCCATTTGTAAAAATTGTTAAAAAGTAACTGGTGGTTTGAATAAAAATGGGCTCCAGTGGTCTCACATATTTAAATGAAAATGCATGGGAGAGGTATGGATCTCTAGGGAGTGGTCCTACTTGAGAGGAATTAGGAGGAGTGGCCTTGAAGTAGATGTGGCCTTGTTGGGGGAAATATATCATTGAGGATGGGGTTTGGGGTTTCCAAAGCTCAAATCAGGCCCAATGTCTCTTCCTGCTACCTGTGGATCCAGATGTAGAACTCTCAGCTCCTTCTCCAGCACCTTGTCTACCTGTGGGCTACCATGCTTCCTGTCATACTGATAATGGACTAAACTTTCAAGCTGTAGGCCAGCTCCAGTTGAATGCTTTCCTTTATAAGAGTTGCCATGGTCATGGTCATGGTGTCTCTTCACAGCAATCACAGTGACTAAGACAGAAGGTTATGTCACTTTCACACTTCTGGTCTGGTTCCTGTGGCAACTGCAATCCCCATGAGATTCATGATGTTTTGGGTGGGACTATCCTGTGTTCTGAGGGACTGTCCTGTGCCTTGCACAGGGTTTCACAGCGTCCCAGGTTCTACCTAGTGGCACTTATCCAAGTGGTGGCAGCCAGAGTGCTTCCCAAACACTGGCCAGCGTGACTGGAGAGGCAACCACCATACTGAAACTGTTGTTTCAAAAGTCATGGCTTATGAAAGCTTGTGACAAGCCAGGAACAGGGAGGAAGCCTATAGAGGCAGAGAGTTGAGTATGGCTGGGTACTGGGACCTGGGATGGGCCAGCAGGGTTGTGGTGTGGTGTGCTGTGCTGTGCTGTGGTGTGGTGGAAGCCACCTGGTATTACAGAGCTGACCTGAATTGGAAGGCCTGTTTCTATACTCAGAAGCTGTTTCAACTCTTCTTC